GCCTGTGCACCGCGATGAAGAGAGGACCCCGCTCGCCACAACTAGAGAAAGCCCTCGCACAGAAACGAAGACCCAACACAGCAAAAATAAATAAATAAATAAATAAATAAATAATTTATCTTCTTAAAAAAAAAAAAAAGAGTCACGTACCACAATGTTCATTGCAGCTCTATTTACAATAGCCAGGACATGGAAGCAACCTAAGTGTCCATCAACAGATGAATGGATAAAGAAGATGTGGCACATATATACAATGGAATATTACTCAGCCATAAAAATAAACAAAATTGAGTTATTTGTAGTGAGGTGCATGGACCTCATACAGAGTGAAGTAAGTCAGAAAGAGAAAAACAAATACCATATGCTAACACATATATATGGAACCTAAAAAAAAAAAAAAAAGAAAGGTTCTGAAGAACCTAGGGGTAGGACAGGAATAAAGATGCAGACATAGAGCAAGAAGCAAGAACTACAATCCTGCAACCTCTGGAACAAAAACCACATTCACAGAAAGATAGACAAGACTAAAAGGCAGAGGACTATGTACCAGATGAAGGAACAAGATAAAACCCCAGAAAAACAACTAAATGAAGTGGAGATAGGCAACCTTCCAGAAAAAGAATTCAGAATAATGATAGTGAAGATGATCCAGGGCCTCGGAAAAAGAATGGAGGCAAAGATCGAGAAGATGCAAGAAATGTTCACCAAAATGGGTTCTCTTGTGAGCTATCTCAAGTTCCAAATGGATCTCTTTGCCAATCTTTAAGGTCCCGGGTAAATAAATTTATGGAATTTCAGGGCAATTTTATGATTACTGATGTCAAGGCCTTGTTTTACCACTGTGAAACAGAATTCTATATGATCCTAATTGCTGAGACAATATGGAAAGAGGCCAACATCACTACCTATCCCTACTCTTTCCTCAATTACCCCACTCTCTAGTGATCCTAATACCCCCAAATTATCTTTTGTTTTCCTACTAATTCACATCTCAAACCACTATTCCAAATCTCATCACCCTCTCAGAATTTCAATTACTAGTAATAATTTCCTTACAACTAACCATTTTCTACTAACAATCCATTCCTCAACTGATTTTTGTTTCTATCCTTATTAAGTCCCATTCTTCACTAACCTTTCACATTATCCATTGGTGTCTTTAAATCTCCACAGCCCCTTTTCTTAATGATTCACAGCCAGTAAAAAGAATAATGTAGATCTATATTTACTGGCTTGGAAAGAGATTCACAATAAATAGGACAATACAGTCCTATATAATGAGTATGTGTGTGTTTGTGTGTGCACAGAGAAAAGTCTACAACAGCACTATTCAGAAGAGATAGGGACTTCCCTGGTGGGGCAGAGGTTAAGAATCTGCCTGCCAATGGAGGGGACTCGGGTTCGATCCCTGGTCCGGGAAGATGCCACATGCCGCGGAGCAACTAAGCCTGTGCGCCACAACTACTGCGCCTGCGCTCTAGAGCCTGCAAGCCACAACAACTGAGCCCACGTGCCACAACTACTGAAGCCTGTGTGCCTAAAGCCCGTGCTCTGCAACAAGAGAAGCCACCGCAATGAGAAGCCCGTGCACCACAACGAAGAGTAGCCGCTGCTCGCCGCAACTAGAGAAAGCCCGCACGCAGCAACGAAGACCCAACACAGCCAAAAATAAAACTAAATTAAATAATTAATTAAAAAAAAAAAACAGAAGACATAGGACGCACATCACAAATGTAATTTTCAATTGTCTAGTAGCTGAATATAAAAAGTAAAAGAAACAAGTGAAAATAACTTTAACAACAAATTCCAGGGCTTCCCTGGTGGCGCAGTGGTTTAGAATCCACCTGCCAACGAAGGGGACACGGGTTCAAGCCCTGGTCCAGGAAGATCCCACATGCTGCAGAGCAACTAAGCCCGTGTGTCACAACTACTGAGCCTGCGCTCTAGAGCCTGTGAGCCACAACTACTGAGCCCATGTGCCACAACTACTGAGGCTCGCACGCCTAGAGCCCGTGCTCCGCAACAAGAGAAGCCACCACAATGAGAAGCCCATGTGCCGCAACGAAGAGTAGCCCCCGCTCGTCGCAACTAGAGAAAGCCCGTGCACAGCAACGAAGACCCAGCTCAGCCAAAAATAAATAAAAAAACAAAACAAAACAAAAAAAACCCAATGCCTTCTTTAAAAAAAGAACAAATCCCATTTAACTCAATATATGCAAACTTTTGTTATTTCAACATGTAATCAATACTTTAAAAGTTGAGATATTTTTTCCCTACTAAATTCAGTGTACATGCTCACAGCACATCTCAATTTGGACTAGCTACTTTCAAGTGCCCAACAGCCACCTATGGCTACTGGCTGTCATAATGGACAGCACAGATCTGGAAGGATACACACTGAATTGTCCACAGTGTTTTTCTTCGGAAGGAGGGACTGGCTGGGGAGAGCAGAGGTAAGAAATGAGGGATTTTTTACTTTTACCTTTTATTACATTCACAATGAACATTTCTATTTTATAATAAAAAATAATAAAAACTGATGTCAATTGACAGACCCCCCCTCTACCATTACCCTAGATGCCCACTAACAGAACTAACCTTTCCTCTGATAGCAAATCTAATTCCTCTGACTCAATGCATCTGCTATTCCTCAAACCCGCCCCCTTCTTTGTGACCCCAATCCCTAAACAACGATCCCTTCACTCTTCACATTTCTATAGCTTCTCACCACGTTTAGTCTCTCCTCACCAGCACTATTCAAAGGCTAAGGAAGACTTAACCACTCACTCATGTTTCATGATGTTCAGCTGTGGGAGGGTCTGATTTGGGACCACAAAACTCATTCGTGCGCAGATGTCCTTGTAATCTTGATTCCTTCTCTCAGAGTCCTCCACGTGGGCAGCCAAGTGGGAATTGACAACGCAAAAGGTAGTGTTGTGAAATACAAATCTCACAGCTACCCCACCTTTGTTTCCCTGTTAGCAAGAGTAATTATCCACAGTTAGTACAAAGATGCAACTAGCACCTGAACTTCACATGGACATAAATCATAATTGAGCTCATTTCCAAAGTAACGCACCATCTTCCCCATGATTCCAGTCCCAACTGTTTCTGGAGCAACATCACGGATATATCGCCACTGGTCCTTTCTGGCAAATATCAGGAGCATCATCCCAACAAGGCGAACCAGTTGAACCTATGAGTTGCAGGGAATTAGAAGAGGTTCACGTTAATACGACTCTTTGCCACATATCGAATTCCCACAACTAATTTTCCACCAAGAAGATATAACCATGCCCCAATCTGAATCCAAATCCTCTAATTTCCCAGTGGACCTCATAAAGAGAAAACAAAATTTCTCTGGGAAAGCTTTAATCTGGCTCTGACCAGTAGGAGTTGAAAGTCTTTGGAGACAACGAGTACACTCAGCTCTAGGTTCATTATTTTAATCACTTTTTAGCCTACCATGAGTAGGCAGCATTAAAAATTCGAATAATAATGACAAAGCCTCTATCCCAGCTTGTTCCTTTTGCCTCTTCATCCTAGTTTCTGATTGACAATTTCCTAAGAAATTAAAATGTATAAAATAACAATCCTTTTTACTTTTAAGTCTGTGAACTAGAAATATGTCTGAAATGTGTATTAGTCTATATGAGAGGAATAACATCTTCAGGAGTCTTATCACCTACATCAGCTGTTAGAAGATGCAGATGAAAATTACTTAGACAAATGACTCCTTTTAAAGGGCTTGGTATGGTAGCCCCATAATTAAAATAACTCTTCTGGTAGCCTCTACCATGTGCCTTCTAGAGACCAACAAATTGGGCCACCTTGCTAAAGTCAACTCTATTCTTGACTTACAACCAAGTTTCGAGCTCACTGAAATTCCACAACACTCCTGTTCTTGCTCCAATTCCAAAGCTTGCCCTACGCACCCACATGCTTCAAACTGCTTTTCTGTAAAGCATCCAGTTCTGACCATGTCAGCGAACAATTTCAATCTTAAACTCTCATTGCAAAAATCAGTTACCTTATGTGTCATCATTTGAGTTAATTACTGCTATGAGAACAATAAAATTCTCCTTTTCTCCCAAAAACTACCTAAGCAATGAAACTATAAGATCGGGAAACTTAGGGAATTTTTTTCCTAGGAAATAGGAATAAAAAGGATTAGTCTGCCCTATTCCAGTATTACACATGGGGAAGAATTCAATTAAACCACTCTTTTGGAACAAGCTATAGATAACAGAGTAACTTCTAGTGAGTTCTATTTAGTTGTATACTAAAAAAGATAATTAAATGCGGCTTACTTTCTTATACTTGGCTTTGGAATGCAAACCCCTCTCCACAGCCAAGGACCACTCTTGTTCCTTCACAGATTCAAAGTAGAAAAAGGTTTCTGTGCTCAAGTCCAGCTCTTGGAATCTGAGAAAGCAAGAGGATGTCGGATCTACACACATCCCATAATTATCTCTGACTACCTCCTGTCCCATTTTCTGAGACATTAGATGAAACAATGAGGAAAAGATAAATTTTAGAGAACTGCTCTATTGACTCAGGTGATCGGTAAGGACAAGTAGTTTTCTTTTCAAAAGGCTCCCCGCCACAGGTATATGCACAGGCTATGCAAAACACAAACAAAAAAAACCTCCATAAGGGATAACAGTAGAGCTTTGCTTATATATCCTAGAAGTAGTCACTGTTAGAATTAACCTCAAATCTCAGTTTCTATGACGTATATAGTTTTCTATGGGTTTTGAGAGGATTAGATGCTTGCTTACACCAATTTAGGTATCTTTTCCTTTATGATCTCACAAATTTGACCCACAAGTTAACTCTCACATATAGTCTACAGTAGGTTTTTACAAATGGTGGGGGAAAAAAAAGCAAAATGTCACATAAACTAACACCAAACATACAGCCAAAATGAAATTCCAGACGCGTATTTTACCCAATGCAGTAGATATCAGGAGGATTCGGATCACAGTTCAGCCAAGGTTCTAGCCCACTATCTGGAGACTGGCCATTCACGTTCCATGTCCCAACAAAGAATCTAATACATGGTACCAAAAAATAATTTCAAAACAAAGGTCAAGTGTGGATGGTCACAATAAGCAACATAATTTCTCAAACTGTTTTGCCACACACACACACAAAACCCTCTTGCATGTAGATGACAAAGGCAGTGGGCTTATTCTCTCCAAATTTTACATCAGGTAAACCTACAGAAAGGAACCAAGTCTCTATTTAAAAAACACAAGTTTAATTGCTCTACCACGTTTCCTTTCTATTACATTCCATCCAAACTCATATTTGAAGGGAGAGCTTGTGGATGGGAAAGAGGTATCTTCATGCTATAACACGGATAACTATTCCATAAGGAGTTGTAGTTAAATCCAAAAACTCACTTCCCGAAGGACTGCGAGGACATCTGTGTAGGAAATTCTGTTGAGACAGATATAGTATCAAGGGGGAAAGCAGAAGGGGAAACTCATGACTGTCTTAACTGTTTACATACAAATATACGCACCACGGGAAATCTGAAGATCTGGAGGTTTCAGCAGAGGGATACAGTCATGAGTGAACTAGAATAAATGAGGCATAACGGGATAGCAGATGGGACTGGAATCTTGGACTAAAAGGGTACATGCTGTTCGAAAATAACAAAGAAAAGCGTTGCTGCTCTGAACATCGGGGTACACGGCACACACCACACGTAGTGAGTCCAGAAAAGAGGATATCACCAAGATGAAATGAAAAATATAATAGAGGAAAGAATCCAAGATAGACCTCCCAGTCAAGATGCTTGGGTGAAACTTCCTTCAGTTAACTTCCCAAAGTAGGTAAATTAAAGTCTAGTGGTAATGGCGGACTTAATTTTCCAATATTGGCAAGAAGAAATTCAGCAGGTCAGATAGATAAACACACTTGCTTATGGAATGTACTAGGAGACAATCCTCTAGTACCTGTGAGCTTGACTTGGTTCTCTGAGAGTGGATAGAAAGGTTAGTAGATGTGGTATCATTAGTAATTAGAAAATCCAAGGGAAATTGTAGCATTTGCATTATTTTGGATATGTATGTTATTGACCAGCATAAAGACAGGGGCTTGAATCAGCTCACCATTCTTTTCTTTATGCTTTTATTCTGAATTGAGCTAATTAAACTAATACCTTAAATACCCAAAGACCGTTTTTTCCTATACGTACTAACGTTTAGCCTCAGGAAGTAGAAGAGAGACTAACCTGAAAGTCTGAATGTTGACATATTCTTTCTCTCGCTTTGCCAGGATGTGTTTGATGAGACCCTCCCGCTGCCCAGACTGGGTGTTTGGTACAAAGAGCTTCCGCATGGTATTGGTCACTTTGGGCTGTTCCTTGTTAGAAGCTTCTTTTTCACGTGGAAGCCTAGCAAATAAATGAGGAATTCAAAAGTGAAATTGCCTTAAACAATTCCCATGTGTGTCTCACACGTGGGAAATCTTTTTCAACACAGGACTTACATTCTATTCACTGAAGACGGCGGGGGAGGCGGTTCCCGATGAACCCCTGTAGGCTGATTCTGCAAATTTATTTTCTTGTCCAAATTCAAAGATGAAAAATTATCCTCAAATCCAAGAAGCCCTGAAGGACACAGAACCCAGAGTGGAAGGGGGGAAAAGATAACATCCAACTTATCCAGGATTGACAGGACTTTGCTTTGATCAGCGGTTTTGGTTTGATCACTATTTGCTCAGTGGCGTTACCAAACAGAAAGGTATCAGAGTAGTGATAACGTAGATTGGGGGAAGAAGCACATCTGTCCCTGAAGCACTGACATATTAACTAGAATGACAGTAAGTTACGTTAACTTGGAACGTGAATAATAAGAGCTAGTCTTTATAGAAGACTTTTAGCACAATGCCTGGTCGATAGTAAGGAGCTATATCATCATCTCACTTAATCGTCACAAAGACCTCATGAGGTAGGTGTT